TAAACACGTTTTCAAAAAAGGATACACTCCTACCTGGTCTACTGAGATTTTTACTATTCATCGAGTTGCCAAGACAAAGTCTATTACTTATCATTTAATGATTTGAAATAGAGCGCGATCCCGCTAAGCTTTATAATAGTACTAAGATCATTCGGTTTCAAGAGCTTCATCTTTGATTTCATTTTCATAAATTTAGTATGATTTATTACCGAAATTACTAGTTTGCAAATTAATAAAGTATCCGTAGTCCAATAATCTTTTATCTATTGAAAATTGGAATCACAATGATTCCTATGAAAACATTTAATCAGCAAGAATAAATTTCGTAACCATTTAAATGTGTACTTTCGATTTTGTAATTTTTTATTTTATTAGAAAAAAAGTACTCAAAAACTGGTAAAAGAGGCATCTTGAATATTTTTCTTCGTGACTCGGACAGTAAAAAATTATTTGTTACTTCCACATCAATTTTTTTTCACCATCCATCCATCCATAAATATTGTTTAGTTCAAGTAATTTTTGATTATCTGTGTAGTTTTCAAGAACTTTTTCGGACGATGCTGTAGGTACAATGAAATCAATTTTTCTTCTCGTCAAAATGTTCTGAACCACATTCAGATTCATTATCAGAGATATTGGTGTCATCATCATTTTCAGTTCCGATATTTTCTCTACGATACACGTATTTTCTAAAATTTGTTTTTGAAGCCGACATTATAGATCATATCAGAATTAAAATAATTTTCACTGAAGAATTCAACTAACTAAAAAATAATTATATAGTAGTTCAACTAAATCAGAAATAAAAATTATTTCGTACAATTAACACTCATCTATTGAACATGAAAAACCTAAGTATAGCTCAATGCAAATTATTTTAGTATTGAAATTTTTTCGATCAGATTTAAGCTTATAACAAAATTATTCTGTAAATCTTTCAATGGATCAGTATAAAATAAAAAATATAAGATTTAAATATAATATTAAGAAAACAAACAATTATAAAGAATTATTAGAACTACTAAAGTATTATATTATACGTAATATAATACTTTATAAATATAAATATATAATATTACTTTATAATATTGCAACGATTGCCGAAAATCGTTATGCCTCGCGTGGACTGTTAAGCGTGGCTAAGCGTAATAACCGTGATCGGCTTAAGTTAGAGAGAGAGAGGGCGCGCGTGTTAGGGGCAACGATCGGGAGGGGAGAGATAGCGAGCCAGTATGACTGTGTTCTTCAGTCCGGCGACATCGCAGTTTATACATTCGAAGCAACAACGTGTTTTTCCATCCGAGTGATATACAGGGAGATTGAATAGCTAATTTGCGAGTGGTGAGACGAGCACGCACACTGTGCAACGTGTGCAGCATAGGCAGCAGCAACCACAACCTCACTAGCATCCACTGCGCAGCGCAACATCGGCGGCGAGAGGCGGTTGCAGAGTCGACGCGTTTTTAGCGTAATTGGATGCGGTTGGCCACCGTATCCTCGTCAGATCAGCGGTAAGTGCGCTGCACTCTGTAATTTGTTTTGCGTGCGATCCCGCGCAGCGTGCGCGGCGAGTTTTTAGGTAGCGTGCGTGCGACTAGTCCGCGACGTCCGCGAAATCTACTCTCTCTCTCCCCATTCAAATTATTGTGTCGATACAGCGTGCGTTCAGACTCTCGGCAAATCGTCCCTTATATAGGATCAATTTCGTTTAATAAAGTGGTTGAATATTAATAAGAGACGATCTTATTATTTCGTCTCACCTTGTCCGGTGTCGGTGTTTATGTTTACATTTTGATTCGAACGCGCAGGTAGTCCGACACAGATCGCGAACGCAATAGAAGGAGCTGTTCGTCAACCGAGTTGTCTGCAGTGGCCGACGGAGCGCTGGTAAGTAAGCGCGTCAGCGCCTCTTGCGGAGAGTTCGCACATCGAAGTTAGATCGCTGAGAGGACTCGGCGCATACGTACACCGGAGCAAGGTGAGTCAATGTGCTCGAAGCATACAGCTAACAGAGCACCGTTTGGCCGTATCAATAACTACAATTGCCCGGGATTTGCGACTAAACGGTAGCCTGTTACAATATATTATATTATACGTAAATGTAAAATGAGATGAGTGATGTGATTTTGCAATCTAGAATTAGAAAATTTTGAAAATCTGATTTGAGATTCATTATTAGTGACCCTAAAAATCCTTCTATTCCAAATTTGATAGGAATCGATTGATTTTCAAAATTTCGTCCACCAACTTCGATCCGCCATAGTGAATTTTTCAAATCTAGCCATACGAGTATATGTGTTCGAATGAAGCATGCCCTAAAAACATTAAAAATACATTTTCACATACATCCGAGGTAAATAGACTTATATATGGTAATTTCAAAATTTAGAATATAAACGCCATCTTGAATTTGACTTGAAAATATGATGAGATTAAAGTTCAGGTTCCATAGACGTAAAATTCATGTTTGCACTATGCCCGAAACAAATTTTATGTCAGAAACTTAATTCATTATAAAATAGTTGTTCGAAAATCGTATGTTTTAACTAAAAAAGCAAATATCCTATATATACCTATCAAAATACAATTTTTGACAATAACTAAAATCAGATTGTAAAGATCAGAAAATTTTACGTTAGAATAGAAAAATTTGGAGTTTTGTTCAGTTCGATTTCTTCCTGCAAATATCGAACAAAAAACCTGGTGAAAATATGCCCGTTTGATCCCTGACGAGATAAATAGTTGTTTCCATTTTTTGTCCATTTTCAATGTTTTTTTCATGAACTGTTTCTTGTATAATTTTCTCTCTATTTACGAGTTTCAGTTAGCGTTAAATTTCCTTGCATTATCACTGTGCTCTCCATATGGTAGATTGGAAGTTAGAGCAAAATCCGGATGTTCATGGCAAATCACAAAAGAACTATTCACTATTTTTATTGGATGGCCTTGATTGAATATAGATACCATTTCATTAGTATGGTAAAAATTTCCGCACAATAGTCATATGACCACATCTACTTTGGTTTTTAAATGACATACATAATATTTTATTAACGATGTAACTACATCGGGCGGCTCTGTTCCGCTGGATATATTTCGACATTAATAATGTAGATGTAATGCAACGGTAGTCGATTTAATTAATCGAACCGATTCTGCTTCGCGCGCGTTAGCTCTAACAATTAAGAGAGAGAGGGGGCGCGCGTTCTTTTGAATAAGCAGTTACGCCTCAGCTGCTCACGCGAGTTTACCGCCGATTTGTGTTTCGCACTTATTTTCACCAAAATAAAGTTTCCTTGAGACAATTACGTACGTGTGCACAACGATAGTATTGCAGCAGCAAGCAGCGTGCAGAATCAGCAGATTGCAACAGAGGAAGGCAGATCGAGGAAGCGCAGCTGATTAATCGAGGGGCAACGGCAGTTGATAATTTTGCATCAACAATTACGGCTGATCACCGTAATTGCACCGCATGGTAGGTGCACCTATCGTCATTATATGCGATACAAAATACATTCGGTATTTTGTCTAATCGTGTTAGCGTTATTTTTTGTATTCGCGTCGAACGTTAGTTCGCGGTAGAATTCGAATCTTCTCTCTCTCGCTTTCTCACCGAACATAGTTAGTTGTAAAATCCTATTCGCGTGCGTTAGTCTTTCCGCCTTACAAAGACTGTAGTGATTTCTATTTATTAAAATCTGTAAAATTTATTCGCCGTTTTTGTCATTTAATTTTCCTAGTAGCTTAAGTAATTGAAAACGGCTTAGGTTTTAATCCGATTACATCTAGGGGATTAAGAAGATTAGGAGTAAAGTCACTCACACTTAAAACTCATCGAGTGTCACAAGACACGTGACTTAAGGTGAGTTCAACACCGTTTGATAGAAGACAACTAGGATAAATCATTTGACGTTAAGGTGTACTATCATACGTGTTTAACGGAGCGGCGGTTTGCTCTGCATCGTGGGAGTTTGCTTAAATAAATTTCCCATTTCGTTAGATAGCCTCCCCCGTTACAATATACTAATATAATATTATAGTATGGAAAATTTTGGGTTACCACTTTTAATTCCGGTAAGTTCATTTAAGATTCGATATTCGAAACTAAAATAGGAATCGATTATATGTACTTCAACTTCGAATCGATCAATCGATACATTCGCGATTCGGTAGCACTCGCGATGCTAGAGCGAACGTCTAAGAGAGAGAGAGAGAGAGAGAGAGAGGGGGCGCGCGAGAGTTCACTTTTTAGTTAAGTCTTAGCTGTTGTTCGGGAAAGCACCAAAATTTTCTCAATTGTGCTACAGTAAATAATAATGTCGATGTAATCAATATGTCGAATGGTTAGTAAATTAAATAAGAATCTTATTGTTTCTATTAGTAGCATCAAAAGCGATTCCTGTAGTTTATAATATATTTGATATCATAAAATATATTATAAAATATATATTTTATAGTGATGATAAATGTAGTTTTAACTGCTCTTTAAAAATGTAACCTAAATTCTGGAAACATTAATTACATTTTTTAGTAAAGCGACTTGCGGCGATTAATCTTATTACGCAAATTCAAAATCCTAAAATACCAACTTCCAATAATATTGAGCTTATTCTTGCTATACCTGATGTCACTGCATGACAATATTTTTTGTTGTTTTAAAAGAAATGCGAATAAGTCCGCGTAATGAACTTTACTGCTCATCTTCCATTTATCATATTATTGCTAATCTACAACTTGTTCTTACAAAGTAATTACTTACTAAGTAATCTTTAGATTACGTCGAACTTCATACCTACCTTATTACATTAAATTACCTGTTGTATACCCATGACTTTCCAAATTATAGAAATGTGAAATAGTATTGAATCAATCTATTCAATCCTAAACGTTGAATTCATTTTTTCTGATACCTCTATTAAAAAATATACTCTCATACAAAATTTCATATATTTATGAAAAAAAAAGAAATATGATAGAATTGAGAAATATATTTATGCGAGTTTCAATAAATTTATTCGTGAATAACATATTTTTACAGAGTAATGTATTAACATAAAAAGAAGCGATTGTCTTCAAAATTCACACTATATTTCATTTGAATTGACTACTTAATTTTTAAATCTAAATAATTTCTATACGCTTTTATCAGAAATGTTACTTCTAATACTGGTTTTGCTATCTCTTCTTTGAACTGCACTTGTTAAACGATGATTTCCATTAGTGTTAAATGACCTTATTTCTTTATCACTTCCTACTCGTCTAAGACTGGAATCTCGTTCAAAACCTAATTTTTCAGAAGATCGTTTCAACTGTGGTGCTCGAATATTTGTATAAACTATATAAACTGCAAAGAAACCAACAGTAAACATTGCAATCCCGACTCCAACCACAGTACCAACCTATAAAAATAATTAAGAATTGTAATTAAATAATTAAGTTTGATTTTAAGTAAAGTACTATTATTATATGGGGGCACTTATAAATGCAGAAATCAATAGGAATCGTACAAAATTTCATTTATTTTTTAATAATAAAGATAAAACTAAATATATCTTATATGTAACAAATTTTTGTTTTATTACGAAAAAAAGTAATTTTTAATTCGAATAATGAAATAGCGATATTTAAATTATTACATTTGAACTTCGAACAGTAAAACAAAAACTTTTGCATAACAACGCTTAATTGTTCGAAAAATTGTTTTGTTATTTTTAGTAAACACACTCATTTTAAATAAGAAATAACAACTCAGTTTATTTTAAGGATTTGTAATGGAGAAATTGCGATTCACAACAAAATTAAGTTTTATCCGTGGCCATCCACACATTTTAATTCAAATGGATAGATTCACAAGGGGAAATACTTGGACGGCTATAATAATAATAATATAACGGGTGTATACAGGGTGATTCAAAAACATATGTAACTAATAATTCCATTCGATTCGCCTCGAAAAATTAATTTCGAATTGTGTTGTTAGTTTTTCGATTAAATAATTAGGTAATTAGATAATTAGCTTCAAAGATCGGTTAATCAGCGCACAGCTTTAGAAGAACGGGCGCTTGGTGGCGAGCGCGGAGCAGTGAGGGGGGGCCAGCGGCGCGCGCCGCCGCGGATTGCAAGCGATGCTCAACCCAATCGTGCAACACGGAGCTCCCATGTCTACATACTGATATACGTATTCATTGATTGAACGCGTATCAATAAGAAGAACGGTTCAATACCGATTGAATAACAATGATGTACGTGAAAGCTTTTGTGTTTATTTTGCGAAATAGGTTATTTAGTATTCGTGGTCGTCGAACTCAAACTCGCTGTCTTACTTAAGAATTATGTTCATTTAATGCTAAAAATCGCTGTGATCGGCTACTACATCATTGCTTTTTTTGTGTTGGACAAATTGAGATCAATAGGTAGAGGCGTACAGTGTGTTTCCAATTAGCTTGGTTATACGTTTTTTTAAGATTAAGAAATAAAATAATAATAAATAAATACTGACGACCCTCGGCTGAAAATTTCCATGTAGGAAATTCACTCCTGATGTGTCATCACACTTGGAACAAAGTCTCAATTCGCGTGTGCGAGACGATTTACACTAGTCACACACAGGAAATCCATCCTAAAATTTCTCACGCGTGTGAATCGTATCACATCTGAATTTGAGACTATGGGTGAGACTCTAATAGAGCCTATAATAGAAGGAGCTTTAAATCTCCGAGAAAAAACGCGTTTTGGCAAGTAGGCGGCTCGTAAACAAAAATGCTGTCGCTACGATGGCTTGCAGCAACTCGGCGCCTCGAATCAGGTAAGTGAAATTTGAATTTCAGTAATGATTATTAGTCATGAAAGTATTTCCAGCACATAATAATTATAAAGAAAATATCGCAATGCTGAAGACTAGATCTACAATACATTGAGCATTTCTGAAATATTATTATCAATCTAACGAGCAAGCTACAATTATCAAAATAGTTAGGATTATTGTAGAACCCATCAGAACTTTAAGTCGTAGTCTGGGAAGCGAAACGCTTTTCATAAAGTGCATAAATGTGTGTACATTAATTTTTCTAAGTTGAATTAAGAATTATAAATAATAAAAAACTGAAAATTATAAAAGTCGTCGCCACTTTTCGGTGAAAAGAAATTCTAAAAACAAATTTCCATAATTTTTTTTAAAACCAATCTCTCGTTGCCCTGTTACGCATGGTAACTTCATCGTTTATAAAACTGACAAGTGAAAGAAGATCCGTAATGAGTGAAAGGTGCCAGGCTGCTCGGAGAGAGTAGTGGATGTGGCGAAGGTGCAGATTTTGAAAAGAATAAATGAAACGGGGGATGTGGCTGGGGGGCATGAGGACAGACGAACGCAGTGCAACCTAAGAAATTAGACGGACGGTGGGAGGTATTCGTAGAAATAAGATGAGCGGAAGGCAAGGTGTAAAAAGACGGACGAGTGGAGGGCAAGGTGTAATAAGACGGACGAGCGGAGGGCAGAGTATAAAAAGAGGGATGAGCGGAGGGCTGCGTCTAAAAGGGCAGACGAGCAGAGGGCTACGTCGAAAAGGACAGGCGAGCTGGGGGCTGGGCGGTATAGGGCGGACGAGCGGAAGTGAAGGTGAAATGAGACGGACGAGCTGGGGGCTACGTCGAAATGTGACGGACCAGCTGAGGGCGGGTCGTAATAGAACGGACGAGCGGAGGGCTGCGTCATGAAAGGCAGACGAGCAGAGGGCTACGTTGAATTTAGATAGACGGTGGGAGGTATTCGTCGAAATAAGATGGACTAGCGGAGGGCTCCGTCGAAATGAAACGGACGGTGTTTTGTTTCAAACGACTTCCTTGGCGAAGTAAGCCGCTTTAGTTTGAAATTGTCCTTGATTGCTGATTTATCTATCGTAGTTAGATTTTTAATCGATTAGAATGATGAAGGGGAAAATCACTAAACACTGTTTAAGGGAAAAAGCCGTAACGGCATAAATAACCCTCTTTATTAAGTGAAAACTGGAAATTACACTTGCGAAGATAACGCGGGATAGAGACGTCGCGCGGAGACAATGGTTGTTACCATGCACTCGTTCACAGGCTCTCACACAAAGAAAACTTTATACACGATAGATTCACAGTCACTGTCACACATCCGAATTACATCGAAATGAGAAAAGAGACCACGTGAGTGGACGAAAACCTTATACTACGTGGGTAGTATAAGTGAGGTTGCACGTGGGTGCACGAGGACGTTACCGAGAACGTGAAGGCGCGAGGGAGCTCCGCACGCGGGACGCTGTCGTCGACGACTGCCGGATGTACCGGCAAGAGCAGCCATGCTTGGCGCGAGTGGCGCAGCACCGTAAGGTGCTGCCACCACGCTAGGTTTAAGGCCCTAGCGCCTCACACACACTTACACACAGACACACGAGAGCTGCGCGCGCAGCTTATTCGCTTCAAAAAATACATGTCTGAATATCGTACGTATGTGTTAATACATGTGTATCATGTTGCGACGTAACATACTGCCGGCCACGGCTGCGAGACTAATTGGACCATTAATGGTCGAGCAGTGTTAGACTTAACAAGAGCTTATATTGACTAGTTGACCCATTCCTGATTACGAATCTAGGACGGTCTTTGGTTTCTTTACATGAAGAGCCAGTTTTCGTTGAAGGGACTCGTCTATTGATTAGCATCGACATCACAATCTGATTGATTGAAAGCTATTTTGCTTTAATTTCTTAAATTACTAATACAACGAAACAAACGATTTACAAGTCTTAAATCTAATGAACAACTTATTCTACTTAAGATCATCCCGTGCCATAAGTTTGACACTCCGCTGATCACGCTTGTCCTAGATTAACGTCGACGAAAGGTTGGAGTCTCCGCGACTATGGGAACCTGATCTCCGAACAGGTATCGCGCTTCCAAAGATTGATTCTTTGGGCATCTGGCTCTAGAGCACTCTGTACTCTACCCTCTCGCGGGCCAGGCTTCAAGCACTTCCAGAATACCCCATGGTTCGACTCGTTTATGGCAAACCAAAGAGCGCACATCTGGGGCTAATCACGAGTTCGGGAGGGTGACTTGAGACTCCAACAGGTCCGCGTTTTCCTGATCTACAGGGAGCACACAGAGCCGAGTAATGTTTCGTTTGTAGATTCCAGAAGCCATCTTCACCGATGCTACTCGAGCAATGCCATCGCTCCCAGGGTGGATCTCCACGACGACTCCCAGCGGCCATCTTGCGCAAGCAGGGTTATCCTCCATGGACACAACCACAGATCCAATTGATAATGCATTTCCAGAAGTCAACCACTTCTGACGAGTTTGCAGTTCATGCAAGTACTCTTTGTGCCATTTGCTCCAGAAGGCTTGTCTAGCTTTAGAGACGAGCTGATAGGAGGTGAGACGATTGTCCGGAACTGAAACATAATTTTGGTCGAGTAAGAAATTGAAAGAACGCCCGATTAAAAAATGAGCTGGAGTTATCGCAAGGGAATCGTTTGGGTCGGCAGAAATCGCGTATAATGGTCGAGAATTTAACACGGCGGCGATTTCCTTTAATAATGTTTCCAATTGTTCGTATGTGAGCTTTTCATCCTTAATGACACGATTTAGATGGTGTTTGAAACTCTTAACCGCCGCCTCCCACAAACCGCCGAATGAGAGAGGGGGATTAAAGTTCCATTCAATCCGTTCGGCTGCAGCAAAGGTTTGAATCGCGTCCTTAAATTCAGGCGAATCATGCAATTGGTAAATCCTTTGCAGTTCGCTGTTCGCGCCCACAAAGTTAGTACCATTGTCAGAGTACATGGTGGTCGGTTTGCCGTGCGTGGCAACGAACCGACGAAAACACGCAAGGAAGCCCTCGGCTGAGAGATCGGATGCTACCTCGATGTGGACAGCCTTAGTGGCCATACAAACGAAAACGGACCCATACGCCTTAAGGAAGCTTCGATTTTGATCCCTTTTTTCCTTGATCATAACGGACCAAAAAAATCGACGCCGGTCTTCGCGAAAGGGAACGCAGGGTTTACTCGAGATTCTGGAAGGTCTGCCATCTTGGCATGTGAGAATTTTGGCTTTTGCCGAAGACAGGGTACGCAGCGTCGCAAGACATGTCGAATCTGGTTTCGACCGTTGAGAATCCAAAACCTCTCGCGTATCGTGTAAAGAGTGGATACCCCTCCGTGAAGATTTCGATGATGAGCGTCGCGGATAATAAGATCTGACACGTGATGATTACTGGGTAGTAAAATAGGGTATTTTTGGTTGAATTGAAGATTTGAATTCTTCAACCGACCGCCTACTCTGATCAGTCTATACTCATCTAAGAAGGGATTGAGTTCATCGAACTTCGTTCGACTCCTGAAAGCGCCGTTGGGGCATTTGGATATTAATTTCG